TTGAACCGCAGTTCAGGATAACCAATCCGATCGCAACCGAATTGGGGTAGCACGCACACATAACACATAGCAAGCACATGCAACCCACGTTACACATCGGGAAGGGGAATAAAGCGTATAACAAACCTATACGTGATCCATCACATACTAAGGATAGCCCTAAGGGGTTCATACTTCTTTCACCTAGGTCAACGTGATACCAATTCAACTGGCATGCGATATAACAGACTCATAAAACTACGAACGGTACCCGAAACATCAAACTAGACATAGGCACGACAAACGGGGTCCGTTGGGACACCACGGGGATCAGGGAAACATCAAACGGGGAAACCGGGAGTCCGAGGTAGTGTAATTTCCAGCGGGTAGCCGGTGGGTGGGGGTCCACCCGCCGGCTGCCACTTTTCCGGGCAGCGGGTGCCCGGCGGGCAGATGCCCGCCCGCCGGCTGCCCGCTGCCGGAGCTGCCCGAGAATGCCGAGGGTAGGTGGCGGGTCCCCTACCCCCACCTACCCCCCACTGACTCTTTTCATCACTTTTCGCCCCGGGAACCGTTGTGGAACCTGAAACCATGCTTAGACACTTTACAACGCAATTAACAGCAACAAGTAGACAATTAACGGATCAAATACGGGAAATGAACGGCACATGGCCTATCATGCTTTTCTAAACATAATCAACACCCAAACATGCGATTTCCCACCCGATAATCCAAGAATCAAAGCATACGGTACAACCTAGGGTTCTAATCACTTTTATATCAACAAGAATGCGATTCGTCTTCTAATTGCAAGATTCGGTAGGAACAACACATAATCATCAAGGATGCCAATTAATCATCAAGAACATCATAATCCTCAAGAACAACACATAATCATCAAGAATCCCAATTAATCATCAAGAACATCACAATTATCAAGAAACTCCCAATATCAAGATTATCAAGATTCCCCATGGAATCATTAAATCAACATCAATAATAAACATAGTAATTCGCCATTCACAATCATACGGGGGAAACCCTAAGGGGAAATCATAGCTATGAAAATAGGTTTTGTTGAGACATGGGTTACCTCTTAGCCTTAATTAGTTCCTTGGCTATGAAGGGTCTTTCTTTAAGCTTCCTTGCTTTCTTGCTTTCTTCTAAGGGAATTCTTGGAGCTCTCCTGGGGAGGTGGGGCGTTTAGGCGTGTGGGCAGTTCTAGGTGTCTCCTAAGTCCCTTATTTATATATTTAGGAGTCCTAATTAGGAACTAATATTATAGGCTTGCTAATTCTATTCCTTTCGGAACTAAGGATTGGATTTAGGGGTTGGGTTTATATATGAGGGCCCATGGACTACGGTGGGCCTTTTTCCCTAATTGATCATTATGATTTATTCCTTCTCTTGGGCTTATTGATTGATTAATTAAATGGTTTTAGGGGCCGTAACACGGGGTGTTACACCTTCAACCTATTCTAGCAGAATCTACCATACATATTTTATCATTCTTCATTTCCATCTTCCTACCTTCTCATGTATTCATTCTTTCTTTCCCTTTTTTCTTTTGTCATCTTTCTTTCTTTCTTTTTTGTCATTCTCGCCCCCACTCAGAGTATAACCATCTAGAGGCATGGAAGGACCATCCAGGGTGACAATCATACCAGCAACCTCATTCCCCCCAAGACATGGCCAGGAAACTCACTCTTAACCCACAAGATGGTTACCCTTACTGGTGAGACACTTGCATAAGGGACCATTTTGCCTCATGAGTTAAGCAATGATAAGACAGACCATGATGATCAACCTGCAAACCAAATAAAACTACCAATCAATCACAAGCCAATGGATCAGCTGTTTTTACCAAGTTGTTCCATTGGAGATCAGAATTTCTGCTTTAGACTCAACCTCCAGCCCAACAGGTCCCAGTTTCTACTGTTGTTTCATGATGGCTTTCATCTTCATATCAAACAGCAGCAGCTGTCCGCCCTCAGAGACCAACCAGCTATAGGCCCATCATCAGTTTCCTCGGCTGCTTCAGGTCAGCTTATTCCAGAGCTAACCAAACCAGATCAGCCTTTTCTTCTTCAGATGATCAGATATGGTGTTCCAGCTCAGCTCATCTCTTGTGCAGTAGAGTTAACCAAGACTAGATCCCTCCAATGCTTCATATCTATCAGATCAACTCCAGGGAGAGAAACAAAGTGGGGAAGACCATCCAGAGCCATTATTTGCATAAAACCCTCTGGAAGAGCCCCAACCTTTCTAAAGATGATGTTCTGTCCAGCACACCTACTAAGAAGGCATTGTGCTACACAATTGATCCTAATGTCACACTTTTGGAGAGACACTTGGATGCCCAGGCAGCTCCTCCACTCCGCCAACTTTCCCTAGTCTGATTCCATCTCCAGTCTTTCTAATCCCTTTTTTCCTGCACCACACTTCACAGTCCTTCATGAGCTCAGATAAAGCCCCTGGTCTAGTGTAGACTCCTGCCAACAGAAAATCCCCTTTTGAATTTCTTATGATGAAACTTCCAGACTCCCCTTGAGCATCTGCAGCAAAGTTCAAGTTGACCCATCCCCTTGGTGGCCTGCACCAGCTGGTTGCTCTCACCATCTTTTTACATCTGAAGCTTTCTGCTCTTTTCAAGATGAAGGTCCAATTGGGAGGGAAGGGGTCCCAGGCTAGCCATTTCCTCACAACACTTTCTGCTATGCCCTTTTCCACTCTAAATTTGATCCTTGACACTGAGGGTTTCTCATTCCCATACTTGCATTGGTTATAATGTACCCATAATTCCCATATGATGACCACATGAAGTCTTTGAGCCAAGAACCTGACCATTCTATTTTCCACCCTTTCTCTCCACCATTGAAAGCACAGCTGCAAAATGCCCCTAATTTGGAGGTTAAAACCTAGAGACTTAGCAAAGTAAGACCCGATTTGTTTTGTAGTCTCTCCAGTACAGAAAATATGTTGCAAACTGGCAAAGCTTCAATGAGTACAGCAGAAGAATTTGGATACTACCTGATGACCAAACCTCATCAGCTTGTCATCAGATGGGATTTTCCCTTTGAAAACTCTCCATGCCATAAAAGACATCTTCCAGGGGACTTCTTTTGTCCAACATTTCTTGTGCCAAAAATGTGTTTCAGCATTCCCTGATCTCAATGTCATTGCCATCTTTTTTGCAGAGGCCAAAGAAAACACTCCTGAGCTACTGGACTTCGAAACGGCAACATCACTAACATCATTCCTTATCTGGAGCCTACCTAATGCTGTCTTCACAGAGTGGCTCAAGCCTTCTATTCTCCAACCTGTATTAGTGTACAGGTCTTTCAGTCTCAGCTTTGATTGGCTCTTCCCTTCAACCCCAAAAACCTTTGCAACAGCACCACCTCCCATCCAATTATCCCACCAAAAATTAATCTCACCCTTCCCCACCTTCCAGCAAATCTGCTGCTCCACCTTATCCCTGCTGTCCAACATTCTTTTCCATATCTGGGAGTCCCCATACTGCCAAGTTTTGCATACAGGGTGGGTTCTTTTACAGTATTTTACCCTCAAGAACTCCCCCACAAGGATTTTTGAGTTCTAAAATTCCACCACAATTTTGCTCCTGCTGCATCCACCACATCAAATAAGCTGGTCAAACCAACACCCCCTTCCTGTATTGGCTTGGCCAAGTTTCCTCATGCGCTCCAGTGGTACTTGGCTTTCCCTTCAATTGACCCCCAAAAGAAGTCTGCCAACATTCTCTCAATCTTTTGTATAACAGTTTTGCATAGAACATGTGAGTTGGAATTGCCTGCAACACAGTTTTTATTAGTACCACCTTTCCCCAGGGGATAGGTGCTTATGCTGCCAGCCTTTGCATCTTGCATTCAGCTTAGCAACAAGGGATGAGAACAAAGACACCTTCTTCCTGCCTACATATATTGGACAGCCAAGATAGGTAAAATGGAACTCTTTTTTTATGAAACTAAGTGACATTTTTCACTTTGTTGATAGCCTCCATGGAAGCCTTAGGGTAAATAAAGAATGCACTTTTTTCTTTGCTAACCAACTGGTTTGACTGGCCTTCATACAGATGTAAGGCTTCCATGGTTTTCTTAATTGCATCCCCCTTTCTAGAGGAGAACACAATCATATCATCTGCAAATGCAAGATGATGAATTTGAGGTCTTTCTTTTGGTTGAGAGAAAGGGGCTCCACTTCTGCCAATCAGGTTTGAGAGTAGCTCAGCAGCTATTATGGAAAGACTTGGTGATTGGGGGTCACCTTGTCTTAGACCTCTAGTGGCATGAAAGAAGCCCCTTTGGGTTCCATTAACTATGACTGAATACCATATGTTTCCAATTGTTCTTTGGACCAGATTTACCCATTCAGCACAGAACCCTAACTTGTTCATGACCAAAGCTATACATTCCCAAGGCATCCTATCATATGCCTTGGTCATGTCTAGCTTGAGAATCACATCTTCATCCAAAGCTGAGATGCCATGGCACATCTCCTGAATAAGGAGGATGTTGTCAATGATACTTCTACCTTTGACAAAACCTGCTTGGTAAGGAGATATCACCCTAGCCAACACATCTGCAAGCCTGATAACCATGATCTTAGTGATGACTTTGTTACAATAGTTACTCAAACTGATGGGCCTAAACTCAGCAAAAGTTGCTGGATTAGGCACCTTTTGAGTGAGAACTATTGCAGTGTGAGTGACTGATCAAGTGAGAGACTTACCTGAGAAGAAACTCTCAATGAGCTTGAATAGATCTTGCTTGATTATGTCCCAACAAGCCTGGTAGAAACCTCCACCAAACCCATTAGGGCCTGTTGAACTTTCAGCTTTCATGCTGAATACACTCTCCTTTATTTCTTGCATTGTTGGCACTCTGTGAGCTTAACATTCTCCTCTTGGCTGACCATTCACTGTAAACAATCAAACACACTCATGTTAATTTCCAGCTTCTCCTCACTGTACAAGTTCTGAAAGAACTTGACAGCAAGGTCAGCTATCCTCTCCTGATCTTCTTCCCAGTCCCCACCTCATTTTTTATTTTGTGAATGTATTGTTTCCTCCTCCTTTCCCTCACCATACCCTGGAAGTATTTTGTATTTCTTTCTCCCTCCACTACCCATTTTTTATGAGACTTTTGCTGCCAGAATCTCTCCTCCCTCACTAGATATTTCTGATATTCAACTTGCATCTTTTTGTAGCTCATCAAGTTCCCCTCAGTGGGATTGTTTTGCACCTCACCTTCCAACTCCCTCACCTTCCTCTCAAACTCTTTTACTCTCTCAAAGATATTTCTGAACACTTCCCAGTTCCATTTTTTCAACTCAGCTTTTACTCTCTTTAACTTTGTCATGAAGGTGTACATAGCATTCCCTACCACCTCCCCCTCCCATGCTTTCTTGACGATCCCCAAAAATTGCTCATGGTCAGCCCATACGTTTAGGAATGTGAATGGCTTCTTTCCTACGACCACCTGGCAGTCAATACTGATCAAAAGAGGAGAGTGATCAAAAGTGGATTTTGATAAATACTGCACATGTGTCTTAAAGCCTGCTTCCCAACTGTTCTTAACAAGACATATGTCCAATCTTTTCCACACCCCTTGTTCCCCATTTCTCCCATTCCACCAAGTGAACATGTTCCCATAGAAAGCCACCTCACACAAGCCTGCATCATCCACACATTGTTGAAATTCTCTACTTTTTTCCATGTTGTAATTAAGCCCCCCTTTTTTTCTCCTCAAGGCTCAAAATACAATTATAGTCACCCATGACTGCCCACTTACTTCCCTCAGGCATTCCCTCAGCTAGTGTTTTTATGTCATCCCATAGATTTTGTCTTAGCCTTCTACTGCAACTAGCATAGACTATTGAGATATTGTTCTCAGAGCTGGAGCCAAACAATTTTGCCTTCACTGTGACCAATTGATCTGTTATTTCTTCCACCTGGACATCCACATCCCTATTCCACAAGATCCATATTTTGTTATTGCCACAACAACTCTTCCCATCCCAGCCCAGTTTAAGAGCTAACTGCTTCATATTTGACTCTTCCTTAAAAGGTTCTATCAGAGCCAAGATTCCAGGGTTGTACATCCTAACCAAGTTCTTGATTCTATGAAGAGAGCCTTGGGAGCCCACCCCCCTCACATTTCAACATATGACTTTCAATTTGCCTGGCTTGAAGAGCCTCTGCCCTTCACATTCTTACCAGGGGCCTTAGCCCTTTTGTTTGCTTTGTTTGTCTTGTTTCCTTTAACTAGTGTGGCATTTAATTCCAGAGTTCTTCTGCTATCATCCCTCTCTACTTCCTTCTTTTTTCTTCAATGTCCTCCTCTATTTCCTCACTGAATTCATGGCCAGAGCCCTCATAATCCTCATCATTTTTGTCTCTAGCTGGTCCTGGATCATCCTCCTCCTCCCCTATTTCCCCTTCCTCTCTTTTATTCTGAAGAGGCTGAAAAGGGTTTGAACAGTCTCTTGCTTCTTTTGCCTCTCCCCTGCTCCTCCTCCCTCAGAAACTTTCACAGCCCCCTCTTCCCTCATCTTTTTTATTTCCCTTAGTAACCCAGCCATCTAAGTTTAGATTGCTTTTCCTAGCTTGCACAACTTTTCCCATTGTTTCACTCACTTTTTCTTTGTTTTCTATTATTCCTTTTTCCCCCTCACTCTCCCCTACCAATTTTTCCTCTCCTGTTTTCAAAATTTCCTCCTTCTTTTCTGAAATTCCCTTCCCTGCTTGCCTCATCTCTTGAGGCCTGTTAACAGCCCTAGGACTTTGCCTTGTCCTAGACTGACTTCTTGTCCTGCTTGGTGCTCTGCTAGGTACTTCCCTAGCAATGTTTCTGCCCCTATTTCCCACCTGGTTCCAGCTACCTGTACCAGCAACACTTCCCACAAACTTGCCAAGCCTACACTGTTCTTCATTGTGCCCTTGTTTGTAGCACTTAGAATAGTAGTGGGGTACCCTTTCATACTCAATTTTCTTAATGTACCCCACATCTTATTTTCCTTTCTCCTTAGTGGAACCTATGAACAGCTCTGAGATCAAAGGTCTCAGCAAATCAATTTCAACCTTAACCCTAGCATAGCTAGGTCTAGTGAAATTCAGTGTTGCATAGTCTGCTGCCATAAATTTCCCAAAGGGTTTACAGATTTGTTTCAAAGCTGCTACATTAAACAAATGAGCACTAAACATGGGTAGTTTGATCCACACTTGTGCCAGGGTTGTCTCCTTTTCAGTGGAGAACCCCAACCCCAAACTAAACAGTCTCATTTGGCGCTTCCCTTCAAAGAGAACCTGTCCATTCGTTAAGATCTCAAGACAGTCCTCTTCTTGGGAAAATGCAAGTGTTATGTGTCTAGGATCCATCCACCCTATGGTGAGTGTTCCTTTGAGAATGAATTTTTTATCAAAGTCCCTCATGATTTCCTTCAAAGGAGGCTTAGGGTTACAATTTAGGGTTACAATTTAGGGGTTAGGATTTAAGGTTACAATTTATGGGTTAGGGTATAGGGTTACAATTTAGGGGTTAGGGTTTAGGTTACAGTTTAAGGATTAGGGTTTTGGGTTTAAGGTTACAATTTAGGGGTTAGGGTTACAATTTGGGGGTTTGGGTTACAATTAGGGGTTAGGGTTTTTATTTTATTTTATTTTATTTTTTATGTTTTTTTAACAATAAAGTCATACTTTATTAGTAGAAAAAGAGAGGCCGAAGCCAATACAAAGTTCGAAAGGACTTAGACCCCACATGGCCTAAATCCAACTAACTAATCTAAACTAAAAAGAGTAAATAAAGATTGCAGACGAAGGCCCCAGGGGCTATAACATGCGCGGCCCCAAGTCCCATGCTAGCATAACACTAACACTAGACCAAATACTAAGCTAAGCAATAATAAATAATAAAAGAATGCTACCAAGTAGTATGTAGTATGTAGACTGCACGCCTGCTCGATGAATGAGAATCAAGTATAGTATGTCAGCATCACAGCCCATCATATAAACGTGTAGATGGGTGACAAGGGGAAAAGCCACCTTGCTTGTCACGCGCCATAGCACTTCCCCGCCAGCTGCACCATAGCGTCCCAGCACTATAATGCAATCTGACCGGGCTGCAACCACAACCGCAACATCTCCTGGGGTGCTATTGACTGCCCTGTTACGAAGCAATAATACACACCTTCCCATCTAAATATAAAGGCAAATATCGGCACACAAGCCAAAGTCCAGAAATAACATAAGTAGTACAAGGCAGCTCACAGGCCAAAACTTCAGCACACAGACCGATATAAAAAGAAAAACAGAGCAGCCAATAGCATCAACCCCGATCAGCACCAGCAACGAACCAGAACCAACCCTAACGGGATTAGCTACTATGGGCCAGCAGCAAGCCTGGACTACCGCCAACCGATTTGAAAAACCCCTACTCGGCCACCGTTCAGCCCGGGCCAAGATGCAATTTCTTACCGCTTGCACCAACGTTGAGGCCTGGTCTATCTTAAAAGATGCCTGCAAAGGCGGAACCAAAGAAGCCTATAGACCAGTCAATGCCTCGGAGGCCAAAGAAACAACAACCTACAAAGATAGAAAACAGGATAGAACAAACAAGCATCCTGTTCCCTTGACCCCAACTATTTCAATCTTTCTCATAAGGTGAGTGTATAGGCATTAACAGGCTGACGCTAACAAATAGCAAACCCCCCAAATTAAGACCCGTCCCCCCGGAGTCCAGAAGGGACTCGGCTACTATTGGCCAGTAGCAAGCCTGACCAGGTCAACGGATTTGACTAGTCCTGCCCGGTGCACCATTCAGCCCGGACTAGGGTGCCATGTTGTACCGCCAACACCTTACGTTGAGACTCGGTCCCGAAAAGCAAGACTTCATAGCCTCCAAGAACACCTCACACACTCTCTGTTTTTAGCTCACATCACTCTATCTTTTCCTTTCTCTATTCCCTCATTTTACCACTCATTCTTTCTCTCATATTCTTTCCCTCATTTCTTTTCTTTCTTTTCTCGTTTTCTCATATCCCTTTTCTCTTTTCTTTTTAATTTCTTTTTTTCTTTTCTCTTTCTTTTTTCATCTCTTTTTCATTTTTCTTTTCATTTCCAACATGAAGTAATAGTACATGAAATATAAATAAGGAACATAAAGAAGCGGCTCGCAGGCCAAAATACAGGCACGCAGGCCCACACAAAGTATAGGAGTTCAAGGCGGGTCAAAATCATCAAAAACCACCGATGGGATGTCATCATGAACAAGCAACGCACGCTCCCTCGGTGGTAAGTCAGACAGATTACAGAAAATAAACTCCCCATCCTTATCCCCAACCCAATCTGCCAATGCAGCCACCGGGAGATTACCCTGCGGCAAACACTGAAGAATAGAAACAGATGCACAAGAACAAAGAAACTGGAGTCGTGACACTCCAGAGTCAAAGACCCATGGACTAGGTGTAGTGGGGTCTACATATCCCTTAAGTTCAGGCAATACAGACTCTAGGACCAGGGACCTAAAACCCTCGGCTAAACACCATTCAAGAGAGCGGTGCATAACATGGAAAAAGTCCTGAAACCCGTCGACTGTCGAAATGGCTAGACCGTAGCAGAAACCACCCCCCGATTACGTACCAAGGCAGCAGTCCCACCCAACGACTCAGAATGTGCAAAATTGAGCTTTATAGAACCATCCGGAGGGGGCTCCCATCAAACAGCGCGAACCACGCGCAGCGATACAGTGGAATCTATGTAGGACAGAATGACCGGCCAATTTGGTGGCAAGATGTGTTCGTGCGGCCATCGCCTAAAGAGACATTCTGCCACCCCTTTGGCAACGCCATACACCACTCGAGGTGAGTGTATAGGTATTAACTGGCTGACGCAATCAGCCGCAAACCCCAGTAAAAGTAGCCCGCCCCCCCAGAGTCCAGATGGAACTCTGCTACTATTGGCCAGCAGCAAGCCTGACCAGGTCAACGGATTTGACTAGTCCTGCCCGGTGCACCGTTCAGCCCGGACTAGGGTGCCAAGTTGTACCGCCAACACCTTACGTTGAGACTCGGTCCCGACAAGCAAGACTTCATAGCCTCCAAGAACACCTCACACTCTCTGTTTTTAGCTCACATCACTCTATCTTTTCCTTTCTCTATTCCCTCATTTTACCACTCATTCTTTCTCTCATATTCTTTCCCTCATTTCTTTTCTTTCTTTTCTCGTTTTCTCATATCCCTTTTCTTTTTTCTTTTCATTTCTCTTTTTTTTCCATCTCTTTTTCACTTTTCTTCCAACATGAAGTAATAGTACATGAAAGATAAATAAGGAACATAAAGAAGCGGCTCGCAGGCCAAAATACAGTCACGCAGGCCCACACAAAGTACAGGAGTTCAAGGCGGGTCAAAATCATCAAAAACCACCGATGGGATGTCATCATGAACAAGCAACGCACGCACCCTCGGTGGTAAGTCAGACAGATTACAGAAAATAAACTCCCCATCCTTATCTCCAACCCAATCTGCCAATGCAGCCACCGGGAGATTACCCTGCAGCAAACACTGAAGAACAGAAACAGATGCACAGGAACAAAGAAACCGGAGTCGTGACACTTCATAGTCAAAGACCCATGGACTAGGTGTACTGGGGTCTACATATCCCTTAAGTTAAGGCAATACAGACTCTAGGACCAGGGACCTAAAACCTCGGCTAAACACCATTCAAGAGAGCGGTGCATAACATGGAAAAAGTCCCGAAACCCATCGACTGTCGAAGTGGCTAGACCGTAGCAGAAACCACCACCCCCCCCCCCCCCCGATTGCGTACCAAGGCAGCAGTCCAACCCAGCGACTCAGAATGTGCAAAATTGAGCTTTATAGAACCATCCGGAGGGGGATCCCATCTAACAGCGCGAACCACGCGTCGTAGTACAGTGGAATCTATGTAGGACAGAATGACCGGCCAATTTGGTGGCAAGATGTGTTCCTGTGGCCATCGCCAAAAGAGACATTCTGCCACCCCTTTAGCAACGGCATACACCACTCGAGGTACACTCGGTGACCCTCTGCTATGTAAGCATGTGTTCCTATGCTTCCATAACTCCCAA